AAAAAATCAATCTTATTTTTTATAAAAACATTTTGTGCAAGTGGTAGTGGAAAATAATTTTTCGTGCATAAAATGATTTTCGAGTCATTATCATTCATTACGAAGGATCAAAGTTTGATACCTTTACATGTGATCTAGAATGTCTAGTCTTTGATCTTACTTTGAATTTTTTTTTCCATGTTTGGCTCTTGGACTTTTGATCTTTATCTTTCTTGTCATTGGTTTTCAATGCTTGGTTTTAATCTTGACTTCGCATTTATCTTTTAAGCTCTCGTCTCGAATTATTAGATTTGAATGCATAAGCGACTTCCAATTTGATCTTCAGTCAAGTCCGATATATAATGCATGATAGATTTTAACATTGAATTATCATCATTCAAAATAAATTGTTAGAAACAATATTAATCTTATTTATTATGGTCAAAACATTGAGGATGAAATCAACCATAGGTCAATAGATTTGCAGCGACAACATTATGCTCTCCTTATTATACTACTGAATATTAGAGAGTTGCGTATGCTGAAACTATATTTTCTCTACCAAATGAAGTTGAGTGGGAAGTTCCCGACCATGTTTACACACTCAATACATTGTCACCACCTCTCATTGAACCGTGTGGTCATGAATGTCCAACTACTTCTAGAATACTATTTACCGGAGAATTTTTTCGACTGCGTATGTGTTGTAGGTACAAAGCAGTAGGGTATACTCATCAATTTTGTACAAGTCAGGTTCCCCTAAATGACAGTTAGACCATTTTGTATTATTGTCGGTCTTAAATAAATAGTATTTACATTTATTTTACAATATTCAGAACACGTCGTAATTAGATAAGCGATTGTTTCATATTACAAAAAAATTTCAATATCTATACATTATAAAAAGTAATTACAAATAATTTAAATTACAAAAAAATCAAAGAATAATTACAATGAATAATTACAAATAATTTTTGGATCAAAATTAAATTCGTATAAGTCGCACGCTAACTTATTCCTCCAATTCTGTATCCATAATTGGTTGATTCGAGTGCTATTTGGTGAAGACATGTACTGTGTCCTCGAAACATCTCCAACCTCACGGATAGTTGTTGAAGTGATCGATGTCGTCGATGATCTGTAGGTGGAAGAGGTCGATTGTAGTCTTCTTATGGTGACACTGCATCATGCTCTCTAGGATGTAGACCAGACCTAATTTTAGTCTGTCTAACATTTGGTCATACCTCCTGATTGCATTGATCAATTAAGGCAGAACCATCGTCCCCTGTCCTTGGAAGTAAGCATCATGCAACTTATTTATTCTCTTAGTCACATCACTAGCTACTTTATCGCCCGTGATCTTTAGTCCAGTGGTTAGTGCAAACTCGAACATGGAGAAACTAGCGGCTTTGTCCCTGAGGTAAAAGTGGAGGGCATCAACGTGACTGGACTCAGCAATCGACATAGAAGTGCATCGATGATCTGACCCAAGTATTGCATGTCTCTCAACTGGTACAAAAGCCATAGAAAAGGACTAGCACAACATATCTACATGATCATCGAGCAGTTCCGATACAGTGGTGAAACTGTCAAAGCTACTGTTCTACCTAACTTTGCCTGCATCTGTCTCAACTCTGCGTCTAGATGATAATCCATCCTAAAAAAATTCAAAATATTAGAACATCGTACAAGAGATAATGGAATAACGAATAATTTACTGAAAATTAATCGAACGAAATCGTAACAACTATAAGTAAAATGTAGATTCATTTGAAAGATTATTCTATAATTAATATTATTACAATATTATCTATAATATAAATATTATATATACAAATTTAAATAAAAAAATATTAAAATTAAAGAATTTTAAATTAAAAGGTAAAAGAAATTTTTTTGCTTATTTGTTTAAAAAAATTTTAAAAAAGAAATTATAATAAAAACAAAAAAAAATTAACAAAAGAAATAAAAAGAAAAACCAAAGAGAAGAGAAATAAAAACAAAGGAAAAAAAAAGATAAAAGATAAAGGAAAGGGAAAAAAAGCTATTACAAAGTATTTAAAATTAAAATTGAAATAATTAAAATTAAAATTAGATAATATTTAATTTAAATTGAAAAAATTACATTTTGTAAATGGAAGGAGTTAAAAATAATTTTAAATCAAAATTGAAAAATAATTTTTAAAACAATGTAAAAAAATAAATTTTAAAAAATTATAATAAAAACAAAAGAAATTAAATAATAAAAGAAAAAAATATGGAAAAAAAAATGAGAGTCGGTCGGTTAAGTGTTGGCTTAGCCGACTTCACAAGTCGGCATGGCCAACTGTTTAGCCGACTGTAAGGGTCAGTGGAGTCGGTTTCCAACGACTGCCTTGTCGAAAATGGCCATTTCAATCGCCATTTCCAGCGAGCTCAACCCCATATACAAGCTCCAATTAGCTCAACACTCTATTAAATCACTAATAACAAAGAACTTGCATCAATAACAACAAAATATAAGCCACAAATTCACAAGATAATTCAAATGGAAAATCAAAAGCTTAGAATCTAAAAAATTCTAACCTTGTTCTAAGAAATATGATGATAGTGATGTTGGGTAGACCATGAAAATGTTGAAGCTCGACCGAATTCAGCCTTAACATTCGATTGTGTGATTTTTGGATTTTTTTTTTCTTTTTTTGGGTTTTTGTCTTTTCTCTGTCTCCCTCTCTTCTTTGTTGAAGATGAGGGCAAAGATGAAAATTTGTCAATTTATTTATCTAAAATATTTTTTCACTTTTTTTTTTAATTGGTCAAGGGCCAATGTATAAATAAAGGTTAGTCAATAAACCATTTCCACTAATTTCCTCCTCACAACACAAGAATATTATTTTTTTTAATGCGTTCAACGTCCGAAACAAGTTAGGTCAAGGTCATGTTACATTCCACTAAATTTATTATCATGTTTTAGTCTAAATATTTTTGTCAAATCAATTTTTTGAGGAATTTTTTCATGGAATTTTTTTATTTTTCACATTTTTCCTTGTTTGATTGTAAGAATTTCTTGGCAATTGATTTTCCATCTCACCCCTCCACATGACCCCTTTCTCATTGATTTTGTGGAATTTCAGTTCCCATGGGTTGGTGGAAATTGGCGTTTTTTTTTTTTTTTTTTGGGCAATGAAAATAAATTCTATTTACAATTGTAACAAATTATATCCCTTTAATTGACAATTTTTATAGGAAATAAAGTAAAACGAACACCAAAAGATCCAAATTTTAAAAAAATTTATATGTAGAAAATTACACCAATAGAACACATTTAATTGACAATTTCTATTAAAACAACTTATGGACAATTCAATTCCCTAGAATTTGTTTTTTCCACCCAAATTTCATTCTTACAATCAAACGGAGCCTAAATATTCTTTCCAACGAGTTTTGTCAAATCCATGTTTTCCAAAGAAATTAGTGGTTTTATTTTTTTATCTTGTCTTAGGTGCTTCTAGAATAAATTTAAGAAAAAAATAATTTCTTGTTTTAGTTTAAAAAAAAAAAGAAAAAAAGAAAAAAGAAAAATAAATTATTTCTTGTTTTAGTTTCTTTAAAGCTATAGATTTTTGTTTTCTTTTGTGTATTTATCACTCTGTTTCTTCCATGAGCAAACAATGTGGATATTCAGTTCACTGATTCTTCTGTTCTTTTAAAGGATAAATTCATGTGAAGATAGAAATATTAATAACTAATATATAAAGGCTAAACTTTGGAGTTTTTTTTTAAATGATTAATTTTGTTAAGATGTATAGTTGGTATATCTCGAAGTCTAGATTCTTTTCTTGACTTACTCTAAAAGACGTTATGCTATTAAATTTTTAATTTTCATTGAAATCTCAAATTTTTGGGATCTTTATTATAATAAATTACATATTTGAATTTTGACTTAATATTTGTTTGGTCATTATCTCATATTATAACCGGGTGAAAGTTCTTTGTGGACTTCTTAGCATTTTGTTGCAATCTTTTGTAGATATAGTTTCGAAATAATTACTGGTGATAGTCCCAAGAAACGGTCGTGCATCGCAAGAACAATATCTTCTACGCATTCACAATCTGGAGCGTCTTAGGTCAAAGTCATGATATTCCAATAACTTTGTTATTATATTATAATCTAAGGCCATGTTTGATTACTCCATTTTTCATCCAATTTGTCTTGTTTGATAAGAAATTTTTTCTAGGTACAGTTAAACCTCGATAAAGTAATACCCTCGGAACCGGAAAAAAATATTCATTTAGCGAGGTTATTTATTTATCAATAAATGAATAAATTATTCATTTATCGATAAATATATATTTATTATTTTAGAGAGAGTTTTTCAATATAAAATATGTACATTGTATGTGGTAAGAAAAATCAAAAGACACTAATCAAAATATTATTTGAATCTAGGGAAGCTCAAAAGTTTTAGTGAAACTTAATGTCTCTAAAAACTAAGTTCACGTACATAGCAAATGAAAAGGTTTAGTCTTTACCTATAAAAATTAGATGTTTGGAAGACATATTCCAAGCACATACAATATTTTGTTTCCCCTCCAATGTCTTCTCATCATTTGAAAGGAGTAAAAAAATCAATTTTAACCGATAAAATGAGGAGTGCAATATGTGAGCATAAGAAAGAGAATCCAACTATTAGCCAAAAAGATATGCAAGCATGGATGCAAAAAAAAGTTTGATTTGACTATTAGTCAATCAACAATATCGAACACTCTCAAAAGGGCAGAGAATGAATGGCAGGAAAGTTCTCTTAATAGTAGACAATTGCCCAACTCATCCAAGGGTAGTTGAAGGCTTGAGAAATATAGAGTTATTTTTCTTACCTCCTAACACAACGTCTAAGATTCAACCATGTGATGCTGGGATTATTCCAGCATTCAAAGCTCATTATCGTCATCATTTTTATTCTAACATCTTACAAGGCCTTGAGGTTGAAGCACCAAATCCTGAAAAAATTAATATTTTGAATACTATTAATTTTGCTAACATGGCTTGGAATTTTAATGTGAAGACAACAACAATTGCAAATTGTTTTCGGCATTGCAAGATTCGGTCAGAAAAAAACAATGTTCCCGAACCAGAAGTTGGTGAATTAGATGAAGGTATTCAAGGATTAAATGATGTCATCTCTAATTTACACTATAGAAATGTGATGGATGTTGAACATCTTTTGAACTATCCTAGCGAGAATGATGCAGTTATGGAATCACCTACAGACGAAGAGATTATTCGATCGGTAATGAACAATAATGATGATGAGAATGATCCTGAACCAGATGATAGTAGCGTTGTCCCAATAGTCACCTTAAGCAACTACTTGCTACAATACGAGCAAAATATTTCGGAAGTTGTGTATGCTCTACAAAAAGTTAAGGATGTAGTTCATTTTGGTTTAGGTGTGAAGAAAAAACAATCAACTATAGATGCATATTTTCAAAAGGAATGATTATTGTACGAGTATTATTGATTGATTAAAAGATTTTGGTCTATATATATATATTTTTTTTTTTTTTTCAATGAAATCCAGTAATTATTACTTTATATTTTTATTGGGCCCTTAAAAATTCAATTTTTTTATTTACTTAATGCATTTAGTGAGGTTATTACTTTAGTCCATTGGCCCAAATCAGGATCGAAAGAAATTATTATATAATCGAGGTTATTATTTTATCGAACATTATTTTATCGAGGTTTAATTGTACCTTGTTTTTAATCTTTCATGCACGTGACCACCTTTTCCATGAAAATGAGGAAAACCAATTCCCTTGGGTGAGCTGGGAATTGGTTTTCTTGGCTGCTGGCTTTTTTTTTTTTCTTTTTTTTTTGTGACGATAGTAACAAATTCCAAGAATTATTGTAAAAAAGTATTTCCTTTTAATTGACAATTTTCATGTAAAATAAAATCAAACGAACATAAAAAAAACTTTAATTTAAACATTTTCCACGTAGAAATTTATACCAATCAAATACAATAATTTACAATTCTCAGGAAAATAATTTCTCATCAATTCAATTCTCTGGAATTCGTTTTCTTTCCACCCAAATTCCACCTTTGCAATCAAATGGACCCTAAATTTTCCTTGGAACGGTTTGGTAAAATCCATGATTTTGTGGAAATTAATCATTATACTTTGATCTTTTAAATTAAGTCATTATGGAAATTAAAAAAAGGATTTTTTGGTGAATTCTTATGGTAGATTATAGATCCTAATTATTATTATTATTTTTTTTTTATTTTTTTTATTTTTTTTTGGTATTGATAGGTGAGGACATGAAATAAAATACATCATTCATGTCAATCTAGTGGCCTTCAATAGGGAGAAGTTCATGGAATTTTTTAAATAGGGAGAAGTTCATGGAATTTTTTCATTTAATAGAGATCGTATGCTTTGTGCTCATTAATAACTACAGAAGCTCTTCCAAATCTTTTTCCACTTTTCCTTTTGGTCTGATTTTCCTCGCCCAATGCTAGTTCCCCCGTCTCTAGTATCATCACCGCCCTGTCCCCGTTTGGGCTCCTGTCCTTTGCCCACTTAATCTCCTTTGTGTCAGCGGCGTGACGATGGTTGTGGTGGTGGGAGAAAAAAGGAGGAAGATGAAGTGATTTATTTTTTATTTTTTAATTATTTATTTGGGATTTATTTGTACTTTGTTTGAAAATTTTGTGACTGTGGTTACAATCAATTCTTTTATTTTTATATATTTTTTATATTTAAATAAAATAATATAATCGTCATTTCATAGCTTTTTATTGAAAAAATAAATGGCAATGATTGTTCCTTGCTAAAGATTTCAAATAGAGACCTTTTGTGCTAATTTCAATAGGTTTTGCACAACATGTCTAATAGATATGGGGGTTTTATGCCAATCGACCTTTTTAGAACACAAAACTTAACATATTGAAGACAAGAAGTACAAAAAATATATAACAATTTTTATAAAAAATAAATTCTCAAATTTCAGTGGTAGTATAAGGCTCTTTGGCCCCCACCTCCCTACGCCGCCACCCAGTATATCAAAAAGGCTTGGAGATCATACAAAAAATACTGGAAAGTAAAAGGTTGATATATCATAATTAATGGCCATTTTCTTTATTTCCAATTAGGGACACACATTCAAATATGTAAACTTCAATAACTAATTCTATAATGAATTCAAATATTAATTTGACCAAAATTTTTAGGTTATTATTTTTTTTGTATTATCTAACGCGTAGTTACATTTACTTATATTATTATGCTGACAATTGTATTCATAATGTCGGGAATCTTCCTAAAAATAATTAAAAGATCTAGGATAGGTGATTAACTTCCTGAAGAGAGCAATGTGCATGATGATGTGAGTAGGAATGCATTTCTATATGTCGAGGATCTTCCTAAAAACGATTCAAAGATCTAGGATAGGTGACTAACTTCCTGAAGAGAGCAATGTGCATGATGATGTGAGTAGGAATGCATTTCTATGGATCGCTCGCCGAGTTTGATAGGTGGTGGTGTCACTGATGAAAGATAAAATCAAGTACAACTTGTTTATGCAGATATTCAATCTTTAGTTGTCCTTTAATCTAGTTCCCAACTGAAGGCCTTGTTTGAGCCCCATTCTTTTCATATAAATGAATTTTTGAATAATGTATTGAGGAGAAATGTGTGGTTAAGAAATAAGGAAAAATTTTGAATTTGTGTATAATAGTATTTTATTGAAAATTGTGTGATTGAAATGATGTCAAAACAATTTTATTTATTTATTATTATTATTTTTTTTTGGTCGAACAATGGACTCAAACAGAATGGCGCAGATTTGACTTCAAACGCTTTGCTTGTAACCTTGTATTACAACTTGTTTATGCTTAAATCTGATATTTAATTATCCTTTAATTTAGTGGGGCAATTAAACTAGAATTTGGAATGGCGTAGATTTGACTTCAAACGCTTTACTTCTAACCTTTGTATTTCATCTTCCTACTTTGAATATTTCGATCAGCACTTATCCAAGAAATTCCTGAAACTTTTTGGAGGACTGTTTGTATTTTCTTCACAAATTACTAATAAATGATAAAATAAACGAGTGAAATGATTAGAATTACTAGTAAATGATAAAATAAACGTGAAATGATGAGACATGAGAAACTACGTCACAACACAAGAATATATATTTTTTTAATGCATTCAAAGTCTGGAACAAGTTAGGTCAAAGTCATGCTACAGTCCATTTTTATTAGCATGTTTTAATCTAAATATTCTTTCGAACGAGTTTTGTCAAATCAACGATTTTCAAAGAAGTTAGTGGTTTTATTTTTTATCTTGGTATATATGCTTCTAGAATAAATTTAAGAAAAAAATTATTTCTTGTTTTAGTTTCGTTAAAGCTATAGAATTTTGTTTTTTTTCCGTATATATATCATTTTGTTTGTTCTGGGAGCAAACAATGTGAATATTTTCTTCACGTTAAAAGCCCTCCCACACTCATATATTTCTTTCCAAAACTAACTTGATCGTCGTAGTGCGTGCGGCCAACTCCACCCCCATCGGAAAAGGTTACGTGTAACTAACAGTTTGTCCTAATATGTAGGAATATGGCTTGTCTGGACATGATCTGTTGGCCACGTATTATAACAAGGGATTTTTCGACTGGTACACTCCATATTTTCTTTCGAAACTAAGCAATCCCTTACACCAATTCCCATTAGAATCCACCAAGTGCGGGTGCCTTCATTATACACACTACACACAAAAGTAATGCAGCTTACGTCAACAACTGAACATCCAAGCAAGTACGCCTTTTTTAAAGACAAGTATACGCATTTTCAACCGTTGGATCTCGAAGATCTGAGCCATCCATATTGCGGCGACATTTGCACCATTCACCGTATCCGATGCTTCAACTTCTACGGTCCAGATTAAAACATGCATCCAATGTTATACATCAAAAATAAGACACCCTTTTTTGGGAAGGCTAAACTGCAGCATGACAATCAGTAGCAATAAATATCAGGAACGCTCAAACTGCCCATACGGACTCGTTTCTCCTCATGGCATCACCTCTTCCTTTCGAAACCTCATTATGACTTCCACCTAGTAAATAGGCTTGCCTCTTCCCATGGCATCACCTTTTCTTTTCGAAGCCTCATTACGGCTTTCACCTAGTAAACATGCTCGCCTATTCCCATGGCATCGTCTTTTCCTTTTGAAGCCTCATTGTGGCTTCCACTCAATAAACAGGCTCACCTCTCCCTGTGGCATCACCTCTTCCTTTGAAGTCTCAAATTTGCCATTGCACTCCACTATTCTATGGGTCCCCATTTACCAATTATTAGAAAATTTTAACCGTGAAATGCAAAATATATATATTTTTAGTTATTTATAGTTTAACGAGGAAAAATATTAACCTATGAATATACCATGACTAAATAAAAAAATTGTTCCAACGTAATTTATCAAGTAGGTGTAGTAAAGGAAAAATATAAGTTTAGAAATCTATCAAGATTCGAAAACACTGTTACTCATGCTAAAAAAAATATCCTATAAAGATTTATATTCTCTTTCCATAAATAAAAAACGACTAAATAGTATTATTGAGTTTTAGATATAATATATTGGAGATACTATAAGTGTGAATAATTATTACGGTTTTAAAATGTTACAAAACGTGATAAGACGTGGAGGTCAAATCTCAAATCTTACGAGTCTAGGCATAATAAGACGTCTTCTTATTTTTTTGCCAATATTTTAATTATTATGGATCAATAAATAAATAAAATAATACATACCTTGAAAATATATAGGAATTTCATACATATTTTCAAGTTTTCAATAAGATATAATATTAAGTCATAAAATACTCCAAATAATAATTTGTTTGCCATCCAAATTTCATTCTTGCAATTAAACGGACCCTAAATATTCTTTCCAAACGAGTTTTCTCAAATCCATGTTTTCCGAAGAATTAGTGGTTTTTTTTTTTTTATCTTGTCTTAGGTGCTTCTAGAATAAATTTAAGAAAAAAATAATTATTGTTTTATTTTCGGAAAAAAAAAGAAAAAGAAAAAGAAATTATTTCTTGTTTTAGTTTCTTTAAAGCTATAGATTTTTGTTTTCTTTTGCGTACATATCACTCTGTTTCTTCCATGAACTAACAATGTGGATATTCAATTGACTGTTTCTTCTGCTCTTTTAAGGGATAAATTCATGTAAAGATAGAAATATTAATAACTAATATATAAAGGTTAAATTTTGAAGTTTCTTCTTAAATGATCAATTTTATTAAGATGTATAGTTGGTATATCTCGAGGTCTAGATTCTCTTCTCTCCTTACTCTAAAAGATATTATGCTATTAAATTTATAATTTCTATTGAAATCTATCTTTATTATAATAAATTACATATTTGAATTTTGACTTATTATTTTTTGGTCATTATCTCATATTATAACCGGGGTGAAAGTTCTCTG